TTGTCAGTTTTTCACTTTTCCTTGTAATGATTTCTAGTTTTATAAAATTGCGATTTAAAAACTTGATATGATTTCAATCTTTTTAAAAAATGAAAAGTCTTGTTTGTTTTTGTTGTGGCCCAGATTTATGATGTGTCCTGAAGAATGTTCCATGTGTGTTTGAAAAGAATATAAATTATACTGTTGAATGAAATATTCGGTGCATGTCTGTTAGGTGCAATTTTGTAGTGCTATACAAGTACATTTTTTTTACTAGCTTTCTGTCTGAATGATGTATTAAGTAGGGCAGTAAAGTCCCCTGTAATACCTGTCTGTTTCTTTCTCCAGTTTTGTTAATATGTGTTTATATATTTATGTGCTCCAGTATTTGTTACCTATATATATTTATTTTTTAACAAATTAGACTCATCACTATATAATAAAGGTCTTTTTTTCTGACAGATTTTTTTTTCTAGAAGTCTATTTAGTCTGATGTAAATATAGCCACTCCTATACTCTATATTATTGGCATGGAATATTCTTTTTCATCCTTGTACCATTAACCTATGTATGTCCTTAAATCTAAAATAAGTCTCTTGTTGATTTTTTTTTTTTTTAATAATAAGTCTCAGGTAATGAAGTATGGAACTATAGTGTTGATTTTTTAAATCTATTCAGACATTCTGTGAATGTTTTAGTTTATTTTTTACTTCAATAACAGAATATCCCAGAGTTGGTAATTTATAAAGAATAGAAGTTTACTTAACTGAGAATCCTGGATGCCAAGAAGTTCAAGAGCATGTCATTCCCATCTGATGAGAATCATACTTCCACATTACAACGTGACCAAAGGCTTGAGGATGACAGGTGTACATGAGAGCTCATTTTTATAATAGACTCACTCTCCTGATAACTAACCCACTGTGGAAATAATGATACTAATCCTTAGCTCTCATGACCTAATAACTTCTTAAGGGCCTCATTTCTTAATTTCTCACAATGGTAGTTAAATTTTAACGTGAATTTTGGAGGGAACACTCAAACTATAGCAGTGCGTTTTTATTGGATAACTGAATCTATATATTTAAAGGGATTACTGATTGATAAGAACTTATTTCTGCCATTTGTTTTAACGGTTTTCTGACCATTTAGTAGTTTCTGTTTTTTAATTCTTTCATGCTGTCTTCCCTTGTGTTTTCTTGAATTTTTGTTCTTAAATGCTTTCTTTTTCTTTTGTGTATCCACTAATTTTTTTTCTATTAATTTCCGAGAAGCTTATGTAAAACATCTCATAGCTATAAAATCTAACTTCAGATAACAATTTAGCTTTTTGTTTTGTACAGAATAAGGTCTTGCTTTGTTACCCAGGCTGTAGTGCAGTGGTTTTTTCATAGCTCAGTGCAGCTTCAACCTCTCCAGGCTCAAGCAATCCTCCTATCTCAGCCTCCCAAGTAGCAGGGACTACAAGCACATGCCACCATGTCTAGCTAATTTTTTTAGTATTTTATATAGAGACAGGGTTTTGCCATGTTGCTCAGTCTGGTCTTGAACTTCTGGGTTCAAGCAATGCACCTGACTTGGCCTCCCAAAGTGCTAGGTGTACAGGCATACAATATCAAG